GTGTAACTGAGTGAAATTGATATTTTTTTTATTAAATTTTATCATGTTTATAATTAATTAATTGCATCGATTCTTAAAAAATTCATGGAATAATTGAATTTATGAAGTTTTGTTTATTTCTAATGAAATTTACTTTAGATAAATTTATCGAAACAAGATTTACCATTTTATAATTACAAGAAAACATTTTATTTTAAATGTGATGTATAATTTGATTCAAATTTATATTAAAATTGTTAGTAAATTATTGTAATTTGCATATAAGAATGAACATAATAAAATAATAAAAGATTACTAAATTTTTATAAATCAAAATAATGAGTATTTACTTTTTATTAATTTTATTTGTTTTAACCAAAACTAATAATTTGTTCTTACTTTGATTTGAATAAAAATATAAGTTTTATTGAATGAAATTTATTCAAACAAATGAAAAAATGTTACAAACTTTTGTTTCGTTTCACACAGTAGTCTATTATTCAATAGTATATGAAAATCCAACCCACACTTTTATATCTAAATATTATAGTAAGCTGCTTTTCTTAAATAAATAAGTATCTTAATAAATAGGTATGTATTTTCCATATATTAACCATTGTACCAGTTAATTTATAATTACGTCTAATAAAATTCTGTATAATTAAATAGTAAATATGAATTTAAAAATCAGTAATCTATTTATAAATGATGAGAATTATAAATATTCAATAATTTCTAAACTATTAATATCATACAATATTAAATATAACATATAGCAGGTAATGAATCCGTTGTTTTTATAACAACAAAGCCATAGTTTAAACTATATATATTTTAGATTTCATAATTACTTTTATCTCATTTGTATAATAATTTATTTATTTTGAAAAAGATATTTAATTATAGTATCTTGACACATTCTTAGAATAAATTGAAAAAGTGTATTATAATGCTAAGAATGAATACACAATATTCAATCTACAGTATAATGACAATTTGTTTTTACTATAAATATAAATTAAAGTTGTTTATAAAAACAGTGAATTGATTCTTACAAATATAATGTTATTAAAATAGATGAATCAATNCCGATAGACATCGGGCCCGTCCACTGAGGAGTACAAAAGATTTTCTTCGCTCTGAGCGTCAGACAGTTTATTGTGATTTAAATGATTGCTATTATTATTGAACTGATTTGCATTTGAATCGAGAGAAGCACTGTTTGACTGAATTGTATTATGAAAACTCTGATTAGCGCCGAATGCAACCATTTGGAGACAATTAAGCCATTCTATCATTTCATTAAATGTGTCGCAAGAGAATAAATGAGTGGCTTCTTTGCTTCGGATCTATTGTCATAAAAGTTATAAATAAATGATATTTCATGTCAGATATTGTGTGAAAAAGAGGTACAAAATTGAGTGCTCTTTAAATTGGATATATTTGGTGCAAAAATAAACTAAAAATATTAATTAATTGGTTGTGATTGTGTGTGTGAGCTTACATTATATTAAATTAATACTGTAGAATTGTAACTGTATGTTAGTGGTCTTAATATTGTATAACCTAAAAATTAAGAAAATAGAGTGGATTTATTAATATAATTAGAGAATAGTGTACAGATAATTTATGTAATAATTCTTTAATATTTAGCTTTTAAGCAAACATATAAATGAATCGATTAATTAAAAATTAAACGAAATTGGAAAAACGGCAGCAAACAAAAACTGTCGACTTTCTACTTCTTTAAGGATATTAAATCATATAAAATCATATAAAATATTATACAGAATATTCTTATGTCAACATAAGATATTGACTGTGAGAGTTACAATTCATTTGATTTCCTCGTAATTTTCTAAACTCAATTTTCAAGATAAATGTTATGCAATATTAGTTTTATAAACTCACAAAATTATATTATAAATTAAAAATCAAGATACCTATACCTTATTCATATCAAAAGTCAATATTTACCTATTTGAATAAATATTTGATTCTAAATGCAAAGATAAATATATGAGATTATTATTAAGTAATTTATTAAAATAATATTTATAAATAATTAGCAATTCATTTAAGACAATACTAGTAAACCTGGTAAAAACATTTGAATTTTATTTTATAACATGGATCATATAAACCAGACCTGTCCAAGCTTAAATTATAGTAAAATAAATGCTTATAATATAAGCTATGCTCAATGAATTTATAGAATTCTTTAATAAATAAACTGTGTACCACTTAGTAACCGGACGAATTTAATTGTTATGTCGCGCGCGCTGTATATGATTGTCGTTTCTAAACAAATGTTTAAGTTATAGTCCATCATATAATAGATCAATGATATACCATAACATTGTTTGGAATTATAAGGGAAAGGGATGATAAGCAATCAAACTTTATAATTCATAAAAACTGTTGTCCAAAATTGATAATTTTTTTGATCATAAATAATTTAGGTTGTTTAGTGCATGAAAACAAGAGCATTGTTAGGGATAGTCACTAATTAGGATTGTTAATCATAATGTAGACATTCAAAAAATATTCATAAATTTAACTTTAAAAATGATATTTAAAAAATTTACAAGGTTAGTAAACCAAATGTACTTAACTAATGTAATTCTATTGAAATTGCCAATGTGTCCAAAAAACTGAATGCCCCAAACCTACGACAGGCCCGTCCCAGTGAAAAGTACTGGACATAATATTAAGTTAGATTGTCTATGAGATCAGAAACACCTAGAAATGGCACTGAATTTAAATTTTTTTCAATAATATTTTAAAAACAATCGTTAAAAAGCATGGAAAGGCTCTTATGAGATGCATGTTAAAGAGGCTCCGGTAGATCGGGAGGAAAGGTGTTTTGACTCCATTTGAATAATATAAATTATTAGTTGAATACTACTTACTTTATGTTTAAAATATAATTTGATTTCAATAAATAGTTTTTATTTTATATACATTTATATAACGTCCGGTTACTAAGTGGTACACAGTTTATGACAATAAAAATGAAGATCTATGAAGTATTGTTTAATGAAAAAACTGTAGTCCTATTTTACGAGTTAAACCATTACTACTTTTCTAATTTAATATTTCTTATTTTAAAAGTATATGTAGTGAGTATTTCTTATGCTAATATTTTCTATAACTTATTTAGATTACAGTACATTACAGTATAATTACCTATTGTTAACAAAATATGAATTTAACTTGTAGTGAATTTGACAAATTAGTATAAAATTAATTCTTTGATTAATATATTACATTAATTGTATGAATAAGTTATGAGAGCTTTATATTAGATTAATATAACATAAAAGAATAATTTGTAATAATTAGTAAAATAATGTTAAAAACAGTTTCACGTCAAAGAAAAGAAGAAGACTTATAGGACTTTAGTAACATTAGGCTCCATATCCGCCGGGTTTCTCATAGCAGTGACTCCGTGGACACTAACAGAGCTGATCTCATCGGTCTGGGAGGTGGACTTCCCCCAGAATTTTGAGTTTGACCAGTGCACCTAGCGTTAGTCATTAAGGAAAACCTTAGGGTAAGAAATGCCTGAAAATTTGTTTAGCAAAGCTTCGCAACGGAAACTCGACTAGAGTTCTCAAAACACATCCTTAACGAAGTAAGCGTTCATTGCCACCACTTTTGTCAACAAAACTCACTTCAACCGAAGCTCTCCTGCGAGCGCCAGAATCGACATCATTGTACCAGAAACTGATGGATCAGTTTGACATCAAATACAACCATTACTTCTACAAATTCCATGTGATATCAATGCGTAATGTATTATATGTTTATTTTAAAAAATTTAATGTCAGTTATAAATACATATGAAATACATTTACGAGCTATAATAGAACTTTAAAATTGTAATAAAATTGTAAAATTAATCTTGAGTTATGTATAAAGTAAAAGTTATAACAAAAGTTAATATAGAGTTCAAAAAAGTTCTATTCAGTGCTCTTAATATTGAATTTATATATTGTATAAAATATACCTGGTTATTTATTACAAAACTTGAAATATATAATTTACAACTGAACTGAAACTATAGCACAAACTTTTTCAAATTAAACCTCTAATCGAAAGCAATGGGCTCTCGATTTCCCACTTTACTAACACTGAGTTTGACTTTTTTGTGAGCATTTTCTAGACTCAGACCCAATGGAGTGACACTGTCTTGCCTTTTGCCACAAACTGAAGACTCCATACGAGTCTCTGATCTAACTTTAGACTCATTTGAAATCATTCTATGAATGCCAGTCTTTTCAGTGTCCGACAGAACTGAAGAGTCTTTGAAAAGATTTTTATTTAATTTGTTTTGTTTCAGAGTCTCATCGGATGTGCCGAACAGGAAGTGTTGTCCCGCTTTAAACACGTCTCCGATAGAAGTCTTGAGTTTTTTGGTCGAATCCAACTTCTTTTGCTTCAATAGAGGCGTTCCCTTTCCGTTCTCTCTATTGAAACTGATGTGCCGAACAGGAAGTGTTGTCCCGCTTTAAACACGTCTCCGATAGAAGTCTTGAGTTTTTTGGTCGAATCCAACTTCTTTTGCTTCAATAGAGGCGTTCCCTTTCCGTTCTCTCTATTCTTTGCGAATTAGGTGAAGAAGAAGTAGCCTCAAGGTCTCAATCCGTATGAAACCTACATTCGCATCTCAACCCGGTGGAAAAGTACTCTGTATGTAGCGCAAGTAATTGTGGTAAGTGCTGTATGAGTAGTCATTGCACATATCATACCTGATTGGCGGTGAAGTCATCGGAATTGGTGTCACTGTTGGTGACACAGAACTGATGAGCGGTGTTGACGGCCGCCAAAGAAGTGTTGCTCTTATTTCTGGAGCGCTCTATGATTTCGAGCTGTTTGTTGACATCAATGAGCAGCTGTTGCGGCGGTCGACACATGACGTGCGAGTTGTCGATCATATGTATCAGCGTTTCGGTCAATGAATGCAAATTCTGTTGCAATTCAATGGCAGAGAAATTTCTCGGACACAACACGACCCCTCACTTCTCACACGGATTCGAATCTCTTGAGTATGCTAAACACCGTGACAAAACTTCGTGAAAGAGTTTGTTACGGTTGTTGAGCTCGTCATCAACAGACAACCCGCGGCCGTAATTGTTGTCAAACAGCTGAAGAGCCGTCAGTTTCTTATCGTTGTGTTGCGAATGGTTTGGAGACAACGATTGTCGACTCAATTGGGAGATGTGTTTTCGAGCAGTAGTTGTCTGTTGGGCGCCGGCATTAACAACACAAACAGCTGAAGAGCCGTCAGTTTCTTATCGTTGTGTTGCGAATGGTTTGGAGACAACGATTGTCGACTCAATTGGGAGATGTGTTTGAAGAGTGGGAACAGAGATTCAGTGATCAGTGGTTCCGGGAGTTCACTGCAAAACTTTTTCAATACACTACAGCAGTCGTGAACTGTAAACCGATTGGCCGTCAGATCCACTGTAATCCCGGCTGAGATCAAGTCCTTGAGCTCCGACTGTCGTAAAACTGATCCACTCTTTCGGAATATGCCTTCTTTTGTGAGATCTGTGGATCAAATGACACACATATGACAGCAGAGTATGCAATGAATGAGTGATACAACAGACGAGTGCTTACTCTTATCAGTGGTAATGAATTCAATCAATTGGTTTACACAACAAATACCCTCTTGAGTGAGATTTGAGCCAAAAATAGACGCTTTTTATGAAAATACAAACATTTGTTAATTAATTGCAATAGTATTTCAATACATTATATATTTGCTAATCATTTGTCAGTATTTATAATATTTATAATGTTATCAAATGTTGTCCACTATTGTGACCTGTTTAGTGACATTTATAGTTTATGTCTGATAAGAGCATAGTTAAGTAATTTACGGTAAGTGAGGGTCACAAGTGGTGTTAGTCGTGTAGTAGTTGTCCATATACTATAAGCGTGAGTACTCACCACGTCAGTGTCTGAGTGTACGTCCTAATGAGTGTTGACATACAAACCAACCGAAAGGAAAACCAGTGAAACCCGAGTTAACTCAGCTTCAGTTTCAACCTCAGTTACTACTTACTGTCCACTGAAGCCTAGTTGACTGGGTTCTCAACCGAATCCTTCACTCGCAACACATCGATGGCGTCCATTGTGTCGAGTGATGGACCGATGGATCAGATGTCGTGAACACAGAGTTTGTAAACAAATGGTCAAAGAGTTGACAAACTGTTGAGAACTCGTAAAATGCGGTCTATTTTCAAATCAACCAATCATTGCGTCGATTCTTATTTTTTCACAAATGACGTGCTATTCATAGCATGAGTGCACACCTCGTTGTCAATAATATGTGTCTTATGTATGCTATTGAGTAGTACTCATTACGGAAGTAATCGTATTTACAGGGGGTGAAAGTCACGGAAGCGAAATAACAATACAATAAATGCTAATCAAAATACTATTCTCTATTCTCATATTTTCCCGGGTTTGATATCCGTTACATTACCTTTTGAATAATAGATCAAAAGCTTATTTATACGACCTTTTGAGGCAATTATAACATGTATTATCCAACTAATGGCTAATTTAAAGGCAAATTGAGATAAAAAGTGTAAAAATGAGATTTGAAATGAAATTGCTTTTGAATTGTTTGCCCACATATTTACTATATTTAAAATAGTTGAGACAAAACACAAGTTATGATAAGGAAAGTTAGAGATTGAGTTCACAAACATATTATTGTCTTATCGGCAATTGTATCGCTGCTTGAATGGCAAACCATAGCAACCATAGCCATAGCTTTAGAAGTTTGAAACTTTCAATGCTTTCTAAACTTTATAATAAACTAAACTTTATTTTAGTTTTAAGCTGTTGTGCAATGCATTCATAATCAGTTTGTGTAATACTATTAGAACTTCACTCAACTATTCCTAAATACAGTCATTTATACAACATTTCTAACTATTTGTACACATAATAAGTAATTCATGAAATGTATTATAAAGTTATTTCAATGGTTATGCCGTTTGTATTGTAATCAGTATTTTATTATAAAATGAGAGTTGCGTTGAATTGCATATAAAGTTGGGAATTGAATGCAAGTTATTTAGACTTATACTGAATTGTCGTGTAGAGTGTGTACACTGTGTTGTGTCTATGATATGAATATAATGGCAAATAATGTATGGCTTATGTAATGCCAATAAAGTATATAACTCATACTGCATCCTGAGTATGAATTGATTTGAATGATAAGCACTGAAACAAACGCTGAAACAAACGCTCACTTCTTATCAGTTTTGCCACAAAACTAGTTATAGAGAGGATGTCTTCGCTCTCATTATAATTATACTGTTATTATCGGTGCTCTTGTGCTCCACTCCACACCATCACCACTACTATACCTGTCATCGAGATTGCCATCCAATCTGTTCAATACAATCCCCATATAATCAACAGGTAATCATTTCATGAAATGAATGCGCTTTACTTTCCGAAACTGTTAAACCCTTTAAACCATTATTACGTTTATTAATGTTTTTATTATTTTATTATACCATATATTATACAATATATTCATTTCAATCGTCCGCTAATTTCAGTTAACTGTTTATCGCTTCATTCAAAATCAATTTATGGTTAAATGTTTTAAGTGATCATTACTTGTAACTAGAATATAACCATCAATTCAAGCAATTTATGAATAATAAATAATAAGTTTTGTTTGTCTCATAACTTATAATTGAACATCATTAGTTTGTGTTACAAGTTAATTTGTAGTGTATAATACTGTACTACATATAATATAATAATAATAATAATTAAAAGTATTGATGAATATCACTTAAATTAAATTATCACTTGGATATCACTAGAATAATATTGACAAAGTTTTATAACTGTTAGTGTATTACAGAACTGTATTATTATGATATTTAGTGATAAGTCATATCATATATGAAATTACTATTTATTTGATAGAAAGTGAAAACCAGAGCTAATAGTGAATGTATTGGTGATGGAAGTGGAAGAAGTGGTTCGGTCGGGAAGTCTGATGGTTCCCCCGCAAGGCTTTCTCAAGCAAAAGGTATTCATACTGTGTATGAGCTATACCTCACATATTACTAAATATCCTATTCATAAAATTCATTTATAGTTCCTATTTAATGCCATTTTAAGGAAAAGTTATTTTAAAATACATTAAAGTTTGCAAACAATTAGTTAAGCTATAGATCAGGTCATTCACTAGATTTGAGTCTAATTTCATAGTTTTCTCTTATATTGTATTAGTATTTTGTTTGAATTAAATTTCTAAGAAATTATCATTTGATTCGCTTTTCGAGTGCAGAAGTCGTGGCAAAAGAAGTATTATGTGTTATATAAGAGCTCTCGTCAGGGAATCCAAAGATTGGAAGTGTTTGACAGCGAAGACCAATATGTAAAACAACATCATTGTCAACGAATTATCCCATTGAGTGATTGTGTCAAAGTGGCCCCTTTGCCACAGAAACAACAACCAAATGTGTTTGAAGTAAGCATTCATTGCATAAAATTATTCAATCATTTATACGAAAATATTTTTGCTCAAAGTGAGGCCAAAAAGTTGAGAAATTGTGTTATTGGACTCATTATAATAGACCTGTAATATAGCGAGCATTGAGTATAACCTTTGCAAGTTTCTACACTACTTATTATACGGTGTATATTATACATACCTAGTATTTGTGCACCTGTTCTCGCATTTCACTATTGAACCAAATACTAGCCCTAAAAGGACTGACAGATCTATACTGTTATGTTGCGAACGTGTTCTTGAATTTAATTCATTCATTCATTTTGTTTGATTACAATTTATTATTAATTTGCTCTCAAATATTACGCAAAAAGTGATTGCATTTCTAATCAATAAAGCCTTTGAATGATAGATAAAAATATTTAACATTTTTTGCTCAATAAATGCAAGTTTGGAATACTTGAGCGAAAGGACATAAATTTACTTTTCTCTTTTCGTAAGTAACTTTAGTCAAAACAACGCTGGTAAGTAATTAATCAAAGAGTGTTCTTCAATAATAATATTTATTCAATATCGAAAATTAATATTATATTTAAGAAAATAAATGCTTATTTGTGGGAACGGAATGTCACTCTAGTATTGTGAGCACCACATAATGAGCTCATACTTCCTGTGCTCTTATCCAGGATCGTAATGAGAGCACCACTTATACCAACTTTTTTTAAAACTGCTTATTAGACCATTTGATGAGAACTTTTATTTAGCATTTATATTGACTTGAATTCAAATGAGATCTTCTCATCCATTCAAATGATGCACTCTTTTAGTCATAATTATTCCTATAATTTCAGCTGCAATTCACTTATACACCACTCTATCATCAAACCTATTGTTTATTTTAATATCTCTTAACAAACACTCCACACAATCACAACCAATTAATTAATATTTTTAGTTTATTTTTGCACCAAATATATCCAATTTAAAGAGCACTCAATTTTGTACCTCTTTTTCACACAATATCTGACATGAAATATCATTTATTTATAACTTTTATGACAATAGATCCGAAGCAAAGAAGCCACTCATTATAAGAGAACGCTGTGTAAATTACTTTACTATCTTACCGAATTAACAGAGGTTTACCAACGTAAGCCGCGATTAGTCTCAAAAGTATTATGTTAAGTCAGTTTGTCACGAAGAGAGCTAAGTTTACGAAATCAGTTCAATAATAATAGCAATCATTTAAATCACAATAAACTGTCTGACGCTCAGAGCGAAGAAAATCTTTTGTACTCCTCAGTGGACGGGCCCGATGTCTATCGGTATGCTGAACATGATATCATTGCAATTCATATCATATCTAAATATCTCATATATTTTGGTCTTATATTATATTATATAATAAATATATTGTACTTTAGGGTCAAACTCATTGATTCTGAAACTTCTATCCGATGCGGTCTAAGGAGTAGTTTTGAATCAAACCTCACTTTAATCGTCACTTCAGTGAATATATCGCTGGCAGAAGAGGGGAAAGTGTTGTTCTCGTGGCCGTACAGACACATCAGGAGATACGGCTGCACCAAAGATGGCTTCTCATTAGAGGCCGGACGCAAGTGTGCGTCAGGAGAGGGCCTGTTCTCCTTCATCACCAAAGACGGCAACTCTATTTTCCAAGCCGTGGCCACTCATGTCAATAGTTTAAAGGCTTCGCGTCATATAAATGACGATCAAATTCCTGGAATCAATACTTTGGGTGCCATTAATATCAGTCCAAAACTTCATCCCAAAGAATCGTCGTTCCCTTCGAGTCATTTCTATACCAATACTGAGTCCAAACCTGCACTTCCATCCACATCCCCTCCACTTTCAATGAGTTATTCATCGAAATTGAATTATTTTGCCACCAATTCCTCACTCCTGCCATCGACAAAAATACCAGAGTCAGCGAAACGGCATTCAATACAACCACCAAAAAGTCCTCAAATAATTGAAAAACATACCGTAACTCGTGTCACATCCGTCTCGAGTGCCAACTCTCTTCCCGGTGCCAATGATCATAAACCCAAAGCCTCGCCTCCCGTTCCAAAACCTCCGCGAAAGAGTAAAGAAACGAAATCCGATTCAGAAGAACCCGTATTCGCATCGCGAGAAGAAGTCATGAATTCGGGTCCTAATCATACTTTTACCGAAACTTATAGACCATTAAAAGATGAGATCTTATACGACGAGCCGGCAGTTGATCTGACCCTCAATACAAGCGTTAATAAAGAGGAACAACATATGAAAAGCCCGTTCTGTCCGAGTCCTCCACCCGTCAATCAAACGGTTTCAAAGTTGACGTCTGTGTTAAAGATGATGTTCTCCGGAAACACTCAAAACCAAATTCAGACCAAATATAAGGACAACAGAGCGAACACACCGACGCGAGACAGCACTAGTAGCTCAACCAATACAAGCGGTATACCATCACCGGTGAGAAAAACAGCTCCACAACCAATAGATAGCCAAGAAGAGGTTACATACAGTGAAGTCTCCGATATAGACATTATTCAAAGCAATAAGAATAATACTATGAATACCAATGAATCAAACCATTACTCAAAAATACTTAACGATAGTGCGGAACACGAGTACGCAAATGTCATTCACCAGGACTTAAATGATTTGAATAAAACCTGTAATAATAGCAATGAAAGCATTCCTCAAACTCAGCACTACATCCAAAACGAAGTGGAATACGCGAGAGTCTGTAAAGTGAAAACTCTCAATAACACAGCCGTCTAACCGATCAAACATTCACGCAATTAGTCATTAGTTGTCAATCAAAGCATTCATCTGTAGTGCAAACTCTAAATAATCATAATTTCTATTTACAAATAACTGTAAAACAATAATTTCAATCATTACAGGAAAGTTAAACATATTCTGAATAGGTTTGGAATAAATGGTGAAATATCTGTGATAACTGAAACCGGCTATTGTTAAGACTAGTCTTTGGGTTATTTTTTAAATCTGAAACCATTTACTCATTGATTGAAATCACAAAATAAATCAAATCAACGAAAGAAATCAAATTATTTTTATTGAATTATAAAATTTTAATGTTTGTTATTTAATGCTATTTAATACTAATTTTATGTAATTTATAAACCAATAAATAATAACACAAATTAAATAAATGATACATTTATACAAACAGAAGTGTATTTGTCGTAAAGGAAACATTGATCACCAAATTTGCTGTTTTCCTGTTTTGACAACTTTTTTGGATTCATTAGTTGTTATGTTACTGTATTCCCATTCAACTAATCACTCATTAATTGGTAACTATTATAATAACCATAAGTAAATTAACCCTCTATTGGTTGAGTGCAGTCATCCGTCTGTTTCTCTTTAAATCCCACACTTTTTTCACTTCTTTCACGACTAGTTCATCACTTCCTCTCTTCCTATCACTTCCAACGCATTCATTCGCATTAATCGTTGTCTCAGATGTGGTCACTAATGGCTTCTGCGGTATATTTGGTTTGAATGGAGTATTGAGTTGTGACACACTTTGAAAGCGAGTCTCCAATGGAGTGGTGACTGTCTTAGGCTTCATAGCAATCGACTGCAACTCTTTCCTCAGAGACACAAATTCGTGACCAAAGCTCTCCTTTTCGGACAACTCTTTCAACTCATTCTTCAGTTTATTTTCATTGCAAATCATTTCACAGTTTTGGTCGCGAAAGCGGTTTATATTGTCTTTCAAACGACACGTTTCGTGGTTTAATGCATTCCTCGTCTCCAGAAGTGAATCCAATTCTTGAGACCTCTTTGTCAACGAATTGAGTTGTGTTTGCAAACCATCTTTGCTTTCAATCAGTCCTTTCATGAGTTTCTCACATTCTGTCCATTGCTGAGCAACACTTCCAGTGCTTCCAAACTGGTGGCCAAACGCCAGACACTCGTTCACCAATTCATTGACTTTTTGCTTTCGATTCACTCTTAGCTCAACCTATAGTTCATGCAATCAATTGATCCAATAATTGGTGTCCAGCACTCGTCAAACGCATTGTTTACCACTTTTTGACGCAATTCGCGTACTTTGGTCTCAAACTCTTGCGTTTGTTGGCCAAGGATTGCGTTCTCGTTGTCAATGAACGCCACCTCACAGTCCGAGTGGACACTCGCCTCCCATTTGGTGACCAACTGTTTGTCCATCACTTGCAACGCATCCCTCACTTCACGCAACTGTCTCTCATTGGTGTCCGACTGTGTCCTCACTGTCCATACAATTCATACCATTAGGCAACACATCCCACCACCAGATTGTCTCCCATTGTGTCTCACATGCATTCACTGCTGTCCTCTTGAGATTGGTTTGTGTCTCAACTCGGATGAGATCGTCGAAGAGATCCTTCAGTGCCTTCGTCTCCATTGTGGCCAACAGTCACTCAATCACTGAATCACTGAATGAGTCACTCATTCATGCCTTCAAACCAATCAATCACTCGATTGTCGAAAGCTTTCCAATCAAATGAATGCACTTTTGAATTGTGCGACACTTCGTAGACTGCGTTCCACTCGACGCCCATTGGCTGAGAGGCCAACACGTGTTCACTCGTCACAGACTGCACTCACGTGTCGTTTGATTTGAAAATCAAATCAATTGTTGTTTTCATGTGTTTTGCTGAAGAAGTGCTAAACAATGGACTAAATGTCTGCCATTTGCGGGTCATATGTCTTGGTCTGTGAGCACATTATCACGAGTTGTTTGAATCAATTGATTGAGTCGTGAATCGCTTGTCATTGGAGACCATGAGTGACACCGCGAGTGAAGAGCCATCGGACCGATTGATCCATTTGTTGGACACAAACCCACAAAGAAGTGACAGTCAATCGAGTGGTGATAATTGTGTTGACAATAACTATGACTGGAATAAGTGTCCAAAACTGATTAACCACTGTTTCAAAGAGTTTAACCATAACTCAGATAATAATTGTCTGAAAGGATGCAAATGGTCTTCAGATGGATCGTGTCTTATGGTGAATGCCGACGTGGTGACGAATTCTGAGAAATTAAATGGTGGTTTAGACACAGTCTTAGGGTAGTAAAACCTGCTTCTGTAGCGTCTTTACCATTGTTTACAAAGTATATAAGTTACTTTACAACTCTGTTTACTACTCTGAATTAAAGGCGAATTTGATTCAATGCTTTCAATCGTTTCACACAATTGTCGTAAAAGTGATGCCAATTGTATGGTCTGAACGCATAAATCATTGTTTTGTTTATTTATTTACAACTATTTATCTTAAGTCTAATAAATAGTGTCTTATTTTCAAAACAACATTCAATTTATTAAACCATTTAATGGTTTATAACGAAAGATGATATGAAACCAAATCTGATGTCTTATAACATTTCTGAGTCACACCTCTTATGCTATAAATGTATGACAATTAGTGTATTATTTATTGATTCAAATTAGGATTCAGTGCTAACAGTGAGAGAAAGTGAGATAATTTACGATTACTGTTGGTTCCCATTAATGAATTCATGCATCCCTTCCACCTGTTTGTAAGTCCAATGAGGAGATGAATGCCTGTTATCATCACTAAATATGGATTTATTAATTGAGAATGAGATTACCTGTGTTTCTAAATACTGATGTTCAGCACTGTTAGGCTAGGTGAATACCCTACGGATATGCCCTGTTGACCACTCGTGAATATTCCGTATGTTATGGGCGGATGAAGTGATTTCTGCCAACTCTATAGCTTTCAGTCCCGACGGAAATAAAATATATTCAGGTTTTGAGAAATGGATTCGAGTTTTCGATACCTCTTCTTCGGGCAGAATCTGTGATTTAAAGCAAACTTATGGTATGTTTTGCTTATAATTTACGAATCCATTGAAAAGACATGCATTTGTGTTGTATTAAACAGTTGACAAAACCGGTCAAAAGGGAATCATATCATGTATTGCAACGAATCCGTTGAACCCAAACATTATAGCCGTCGGTTCATATGATAGGAGTATTGGTCTCTATGAAGAGCCCGGACTCACGAATATCTGTGTGCTGTTGGGCCAGAAGGGAGGGCTCACTCATCTCCAGTTCTCTTCAGATGGCAATCGCCTCTATAGTGGAGGAAGAAAAGTATGACTCGTTTTCATAATAACAATACAGTGATTGCTATTATGTTATAAACATTGTTTAATATTTGTTTGCTTACAAGGATTCAGAGATCTTGTGTTGGGATCTCAGAAACATTGGTCACGTGTTGTCTGTTATCAATCGTGAAGTGAATACAAATCAAAGAATATATTTTGATTTATCTTCCGATTCCAAGTATTTGGTGACCGGAAGTGACACCGGATTTGTTGCCACTTATGATATAAACTGTGAAGCGAGCGATGAAATAATGAAACCTTTGAACACATTCTCGGCGCACAAGGACTGTGTGAATGGAGTCAGGTATTGGTTATTAACTTATGTCACATCTGCACTACATTTGACTGCAACTCTTGATTGCTATACCAAACAGTTTTCATCCGACTCTACCACTGCTGTCGACTACTTCAGGCCAAAGAAGATTTGCTGACATTTCTGACTCCGAAGACGAGCACGACTTGTCTTTAGTGAATACACAACAAGAAAATAGTCTAAAAGAAACCACCAAAACTTCACTTTATGAAAAGTAATAAAATAAACATTACAAAACGACATGTTATCATAACAATGACTCAAATGTGGTTATTTTGTATAGTTGATAAGTAAGTAATCTACAATTTTATAGATATTTATTTATTTGACACATTTTTCAGCTGATATTTTCACTCATGAGGTGGGACCTTTGATTATTTGATTAACATTTTTAATTTCAAATTTTGAAACCCGCGCACAATCAGATTCAAATTTTGTTTATTTACAAAACATTGTATGTGTGCAGAGATTTGTACCCTTTTATAACTATGTGTTCGTATCACTTATTGCGTACAATTGTACGCATAGTTAGCTCACATGCCGTTGTGTTAAACAATTCTAATACTGTTTGGTATTTACTGTGATTTACATAGATTGCAATGCACTTCTCAGTCACAGACTCACAGTTCAAGTCATGACTCAATGAGTGAATAATCGATGTTTTGATTGTTGTTTGACTCGTGAGTGGATGACTGAGTGGTGACTGATTAGCCATCACTTGAATGCAATCCATCGGCCATTCATTGACTCAACGCATTGTCTCACTGTTTGACCACTTATTTCAACACTCTTTGGTGGTTTTGAAGTGAAATACTTTTCATTATTTTATTTGTAATGTTTTGCTGTACAATAGTATTGTTACTGAGTTTACACCAATAAAACATATCAACTATTCATTCATTAGATGTTAAAATATTTTATTTATTTATTTGACACATTTTTCAGCTGATATTTTCACTCATGAGTGGGAGCTTTGATTATTTGATTAACATTTTTAATTGCAAATTTTCAAATTTTGAAACCCGCGCACAATGAGATTCAAACTTTGTTTATTTACAAAACATTGTATGTGTGCAGAGATTTGTACCCTTTTATAACTATGTGTTCGTATCACTTATTGCGTACAATTGTACGCATAGTTAGCTTACATGCCGTTGTGTTAAACAATTCTAATACTGTTTGGTATTTACTGTGATTTACATAGATTGCAATGCACTTCTCAGTCACAGACTCACAGTTCAAGTCATGACTCAATGAGTGAATAATCGATGCTTTGATTGTTGTTTGACTCGTGAGTGGATGACTGAGTGGTGACTGATTAGCCATCACTTGAATGCAATCCATCGGCCATTCATTGACTCAACGCATTGTCTCACTGTTTGACCACTTATTTCAACACATCTATCACCACATGGAGACCAACACTTGCAATGTGAGGCTCACATGACCTGTGATTTGCTTTCAATTTGATATCATTTGTTAACCATTTGTTGTAATCATTAGACGTCTAGTGTATTGTCCGAAGAGAACGGGTCCACAGAAGTGACGCAAAGACAGAGCAATAGAGGACCCAAACGACGACATAATGGCGTCACAAGTGTTGGTCGCAAACGACGCAACACTTCACCCAATAATGAGTGCAACCATTCATTAGCAGACAATACGACAAACAGTGGCAGTAATGACAGCAGCAATGAGTCGACACTCTCGATGCCAGTCTTGGATGTGGGCTCTCATGTGACCATTGGTTCACTCAATGAAAGCAACGAACAAACGGATCAATTGAATGATACAAATGAGAGTCAAACGAGTGGTGATATGATTATAGCCAATGAAAGCAATGTTTGCATTGATTTGACTGAAGAGGACTCAGTGGTGGACGAGAATAACGTTGACTCGGATTCAGAGGTCCAATGCATTAGTTCTGTGATCAGAGATCAGGATTTGTGTATAATTCGCGACAATAGGCGCCAAAACCGTCGCAATCATCGGACGGATAGCTCGCGATCTCCGGTTAAACCGAAGCAACCAAACGATGATATCATTGAAATCAAAGACTCGCAACCCATACAAAGGTTTGCCACACTTTGCATCAATTGATTGCATTTATTTAATTGTATTAAATGTTGTGATTATCTCCGAAAACTTAGTCCAACTCAGACTCAGACTCAGACCAGCTCTCCGTCATTGAGTCCATCGAAGAGAAGCGTCCGAAAGAGTATTAAATGTCCCGTTTGTCTGGACGAGAGCACTGTTGTCAGTATACCATACCATACATTGCATGCATGCAATTGATCCCTAAGTATATAGTCTTTGGTTTGACTCATTTTCTCTTTGATTATTAGTTTGAAGTGTCGGGACGACAGTTAGTATCAACGGTTTGCGGTCATCTATTTTGTGATCGGTATGAATGGAGTGTTGCTTTTAATCCATTTATGACACTCATTGCCAATTGTTTTCATTTAACCCGCAGTTGTATATCAGAAGTGATTCGGACGTCCAAAGCGTGTCCCAGTTGTAGGAAAAAGATCGCGACTAAGAAGGCATTTCATCCCATTTTTATTTAATTGTATTGTATTTAATTAATTAAACTTTTCCACATTTTCTTTACTGTATTTTTTGTTAATTAAACAACAATTATCGAAACAAATTCTTATGTAAAGTCATTTTAATTTGAATCTACTTATTGGTAGAATATACCATAAAATAATGTTAATTTTGTTAACTTTTGCTAATTCATTGAATAAACTATATATAAATCTATATACAGTTTATATAATATCTGATATTAGTTTGAATACATACAGTATCCAAATGATAAGTATTAACATTTATGCCATAGATTTGTTGATTCGATTGGTTAGAGATTACAAGAAATTGAAGTCCTCTTCGAAGTGTAAGTTTTATTTTGCAGTCTTTTGCAGTCTTTCCTAATCTTCAAGTGAATGATATATCAGTGTTGATGAGGTTTTTGCTCGCTTTGCAACAAATGATTCATTTATAAGTTATCTCCAGAACTGGTCGACCAGAAGTGAAGTGCATTTTCTTGGAGTTTATATTCGGAGACCTATTCATTCACTTTAATGATTAAAAAATTGGTGAATTTTATGAAAATGAGTGTCAAATTGGGTTTGTTTGTAGTGCTCGCCGTTTATATATCATTCTCGGGTTCGGCTATGAGTCAGAGTAAGTCTAATTCATGGTATAAATGTAACTTGATTTCAAATTCAGGATCAAGGTTTGCATTTTATGATTAGCCATTGCCTTGGTTCAATGATTTTATTTAACAATTCCCTTTTGAAAATGTTCTGTAGTTCTAAAAAGTTTGGGTTTACTTTTACATTGACACATTTTCCTATTTTGCATTATTTTACATTACTATTGTGTATACTGTGTCACTTTATAAATTTAACATAGTTTTTATTATACAGGTATAAAATAAATTTAAGTAATTACCGATAGTATTTATCATAATAATACGAATCTCAGCTGGGAAATATTAGTGCATTAGAATCGCAGTTTTAGTCATCCAATTATCAGTATATCATTGTTTAATATAAAATAAAATGTTCAAATATTGTATGTGAAACTTGCTGTAATTATATTTTATTTAATACCCGTATTCTTAACGATATTGTATACGGTATTCGTTAGAAAAAAGTAAATGAAAGTTTGTCAAATCAATTAGTGTTAGCCTAAGGAATTCAAATGACTGTTTAGTTTCATTCATTAATCTCAAAATCTAATCGTATGATTTGGACATTAAATTCAAATATAAAATGAAAAAATCAATCAAATATGATAAGCAAAACTGTCAAATCAATAAAAATTTCTTAATTTTATATCATCTCACGTACAGTATTTCTTAATGTACTCTATTTAAGAAACCAAATATTAATTGTCTATTAACTTTATTGTTTAACATTGAAGTTTATTGCTTTACAAAAATTTAGGCAATGAATTACCGGTTAAATCAAATCGTTTTGAAATGAAGTCGGAATGTATGCGAGAACTGAATTATCAAATCAATTCAGAATTGTATGCGAGTCTCGTTTACATGAATATGGTATCAAAATACTAACACTAAACCATTTGATGGTAAAATTTAATCCTTGTTTAATATGTACGGAAAGGGTGCCTATTTTGATGGCAATAAAGTGGCGCGAAAGGGGTTCTCAAAGTTCTTCTCGGATCAGTCCCGGGAGGAAAAGGAGCATGCTCATAAACTCATTGACTACCTTAACAAGAGAGGTGCTAATGTTAACATTCTCGATGTCAAGGTATTTATTGTATTCTGTTTATCACTTGGATTTTATTGTATAGTATTTTAACTCTCATTTGTAACCATTGGTTCAGATGCCGGTCAAGAATACATGGAATGGTCCCAAACAGGCCCTCGAAGATGCCATTCAATTGGAGAATGAAATCAATGATTATATCCATAAAATACACGGAATCGCTGAACACACATGCCTTGACCCACACGTAATCATAAACTCATAAAAATGAGAACAATTTTGATGAAACTTTTTTGAATTCAAAAGTTAATGGATTTCCTTGAGAGCGAGTATTTGGAGGAACAAATGACTTCAATAAACCAATTGACAAGACTTCACACAATACTGAGCCAAATGCAAAGCGGTGTCGGAGAGTATCTGTTGGACAGACAACTTCTTGAGGGCAAAGTGGAGCCAAAAGATCTTTAAATATTTCAAATACTCAATAATTTGAAACTCATTTTCATTGAAATTCTGAATCAAATGTGTTGACAAATATGTAACAAAATATTTTTATTAAACTTATATAAATTTATAACAATCTGTAGATTAGAATATAAATAAAATAATTCGATAAATATGTTGGATGTGATGAGTGATGATTACCAGACAACCCAAGGAGGCTGTCGTATCTTCGATGGCAAGTGACTAATATTAATGGGAATATTAACGACGGCTCGATTCAGACGCAACGCATCCAATGCCCGTCTAATCATATGCCCGTCTTTTCCTATTATTTATAGAAAGCAATTGTAGTTAAAGTTTCATAAAGAGGATTACAATCAATATTTTCAAACAAAATAAAGACTAAAATATTAAATTCAAAGCAACTCTATTTGAACTGAAGTTAAATGAGATTTCATGAGAATTGATACCCAAGAGAAAGGCGGCCGGAATGGAACAGTTGCGCGAAGAGGTGTCGGCCACCATCTCGATGTAGAGGTCATCGTTGTGGTCGTTGTTGTCGTATATGATTACTCCAATCATTTCGCTCTTTTCGGCGACAATGCATTTGTCCAGAAATGAACAGCCGCTGAGACATACATGAGATGATCAATACAAGTGGACAACTAATGGACAACTCGTGTCATGACTCGTGATTTACAGCACTATTTAATTACTGACTAAACTGTTCACTACATTTTGATTAAAATGTATAGATTTATCAGATTATAATACTCGTATTAAGGTACTGTTAATCCATGCAAACTATAATAGTTGTACAGTATATTGTACTGTAATACAGTAACTGTATTCTGTATATTATGGGCAAATTTGTTTTAATTGCTTATAGATTTGTTTACAATATAAAGTATAAAAAATAAATACAAACAAACAGTTTATGTAAAGTATGGACACGTTTTCATCAATTAATGAGTGGCGAAGAAGTAATGAAACAATTGATACCCCCTTTCGATGAGTCCAATGTTGCGGAATAACTCAAATCTATTGACTACTGAAGTGCACGAGTCGTTTGGCTCAACGATCACAAGATTTATGTTTGAATACCTCTTGTCCTGTCATCACATTCATAGCAATCATTAATACGTGAATCCATTTAAAGGCAAATCAATTCATACGAAATCAGTGCCGAAGTCCTGTGCCATACGAGCTCTATATGTGTAGCGAAGGCTTTCGGGCTCAACGATCTCGAAGTGGATGTCCTCTCTGGCCGTCAAAGAAGTCAATACGTTCTCTACGAAGACATTGATTCAGTGGTCATATTGTATAACAACTCATCTCTCAATACCTGTCATTGTGGCCAACATTTGAAGCAAAATCAAGTAAACTATCAAATGGTTAAAGGATTTGAGTGAAAGTCTATTTAGTAATGATTTCATTTGTTTTAAACTTTCAGACAATTAATGCAAATATTGAGCCAAACTTCATATTATTCACTATTTATCACAAGTCAGTCATTATTTACTAATTGCTATTCAAACTAATTTCACATAAACTTTGTAAACATTGTGTTTTCATTGCTGTCTCAATATTATTTCATATCAATATCATTGGTATAGTTGCTGGCAGTATGTTATAGGTTATAAGCAAGCTCACTTGTCGATCACAATCAAATATAACATATATTAGTTAGCGTTCATTGCGATTATATTCAGTCATTTCAATCAAATCCAATTGCAATCAAAGTGTCATTGCTTTCAATGCAATCCATGTGTGCTTTCAGTGCAGAGATGCCGTAATTTATGCGAAAAATTTCGGTTAAAAATTGAATTTCCAATTGAAATCACATTTGATTCACAAGTCATTGATTGCATGAAAGCATCGATTGGCTGAACAGTGGCTGTAATTGTCTCGTGATTTGTGGTGAATTGCATTGAAATGACACTAATGTCTGGCACCGAGAGTCCCAATGAGTTCAAGTTAGACAGTGTGGCCACCGATTGCATCCAATCTCTCAAATTCGGGAACCACTCCAACCATCTGCTGCTGTCGTCTTCGTGGGACTGTTCCGTACGACTGCACGACATCTCATCCAACACTCTGAGAGTCAAATACACGCAGTCGGCGCCTGTCCTCGACTCGGCCTTCCAGGTGCTCATCACCACCACTACATCCACCACATGACCACTCACTCAATGTCTAATGGTTTGTCTCTATACTGCTATACAGGACTCGCATCGCGTGTGGAGCGGAGGGTTTGAGCAGAACGTGAAGGTCTATGACCTGAACGCGAGTACAGAAACCATTGTTGGCTCACATGTCGGGCCCATTCGGTGCGTGGAGTCGAGCCCTGAGGTGAATGCTGTGGTGACGGGCGGGTGGGACGCCTACGTGAAGCTGTGGGACCCGCGCGCCCCCTCAGCCATCGGCGCCTACCAACAGCCCGACAAAGTGTATACAATGGCTGTCTGTGGCGACAAAGTAGTGGTGGGAACGGCTGGGCGCCGGGTCCTGGTGTGGGACCTCCGGAATATGGCTTATGTTCAACAGAGACGCGAATCGAGTCTCAAATACCAAACCCGTTGTATCCGATGTTTTCCTAATAAACAGGGATACGTCTTGAGCTCCATTGAGGGCAGGGTTGCCGTCGAATATCTCGATCCCAGTCCCGAAGTGCAGCGCAAGAAGTATGCGTTCAAATGTCACCGAAATAAAGACAATACGAGTGGTATTGAAGTGATATATCCGGTGAATGCGATCAGTTTCCACAGCGGGTACAACACGTTCGCGACGGGAGGTTCGGACGGTTACGTAAACATATGGGACGGCTTTAATAAGAAGCGTTTGTGTCAGTTCCACAAATACCCGTCCAGTATATCCTCCCTCTGCTTCTCACCCGACGGCACATATCTGGCCATCGCTTCCTCTTTCCTGTACGAGACGGAGGAGACGCGAGACATCCCTCCCGACGCCATATTCATCAGGAGAGTCACCGACCAGGAGACCAAACCCAAGTGATCACTCCATCCACACACCAATCGTTACAATCACTTCATTTCACGCCAATTACTAAACCTTTTTTCAAATCAACTCTCATTGATATCCCATTCCCGCACTTTTATACGGCATACCGTTTACTGTTAGTGAAAGGAACTACAGTATGAATTGTCATTAATTTAGATACAGTAGTTTGCGCTCAAAAAGAACCAGGCTCTATTTATTGTAAAAACTTTTTTATTTATGTATGAATTAATTACTTAAAAGTAAATCAAATGTTTTCGTGGTTTTAATGAAAATTTGACCAAAAACTCAAAATTAATTTCATATATATATTAAGGACTGAAAACAAAATTAATTACAAAACTCACTAATCATTAATTACAAGATCTAATAATTTACACCAACTTCTTGGCCTCGAAAAAGCCTTTCAAATGTCTCATTTGCCAGAAGCCCATCGATAGTAAGATAATGGTCTGACCCAAAGACCACCACAAGACACGAGAGTTTGTGCTTTCACTGGTCTGACGGAACCGCTCTTCGCGATACTGTACAGCAAATCAAATGAAATGAGATAATGGTTGTGATTGTCATGTCATATGTGTTACCCTTTGATAGTTCTGTTCTTTAGTGATCTGTTCGACCTGATCCAGCAGTTGTCTAACCCTTAACTGCAATTCACTTAACTTCTCCTTTTGAGCGATATTCTGGTAATCGATGGCGTGTTCGCCGACCTGTATATCCAAATGGACTCTGAGTTGACCGCCGCTGAACCAACGCGAAGAGTTGGAGTAAAGACAGATCACGTGCTCTCCCGGTGTGTGCGATGTGAATGAGAAGCGCCCCTCATGTGAGTACACCTTCGACAGGATTATCTTGTCCTCCGGGTCTCTGATCTCCACATGCATTCCAATGCCCGGAGACGATGGCATAAACCCCCCGGTGTTCGGATCAAAGAGTTGGCACTTGTAGTTGCCTTCACATACAAGTGGATCAGTTAGTAATAGTCTTAGTGGTGGTCATCCGTGGCATACATACCCACTACTAGTGTCTCGTCCGGCACTTCTTCGATAAAACATTTCCTCTCAGTCTCCGAGATGTGGAAATAGAGTGCAAAAGAACTCCGGATGCATACCATTGCCATTAAAGTCCATAATAAGACACCATTCAATACGTTTGGATACATATCGGGGCACTAAATATGCATTCAATTGAATCCAATGACAAACTAATAGTGATTTCAATTCAATTATCGGTGCATTGAATGCAATGAAAGGCCACGTATTATACCGTACAGTGTGTTGACTACAGTGTGTAATGTTTGGCAGTATTACTGTACGGTATACTGTACTGTATTGCTGTGTCAGTCAATGCATGTGTTGAACCCTCTATGCATTGGCCGCACAATCAATGATGTCATCCAAACAGTTGTCAACCAAATGGGTGTGACTTTACAGGCGATGGCAATGTCTATGCATTGGATTTGAATTGAATTTAAATTAAATGACATTCAATTAAATGACATTCAAATCAATCAACTAATGAAATGAATCTCACGTTTGACACGATTTTGATGACATTTCTTGTAATTTCACTCAAATGTAAGTCTCCATCAAATGCAATGAAACAAAGTTTTAGCGCTTTTTTGCTAACATTTTAATGAATTTGATTATGAATTGAATGTCTTTTCATGTCTTTTCAGATGTGAAACCAGTGATCAGTCAAACCAGATATGGCTATAAAGAAGACAACGTGAGGAGTGGTGCGAAGCCGAGGCTCATATTCTGCGCCATCAGTGGTGAAGAGCAGAGCAAATGCGAGCACTGGTCACAAGCCATCCAAAGAAGTGGATGGAATGCCTTCGAGTATGACTTGGAGTGCAAAGTGGCCACAGATAAGGATCAGTGCATGAATTGGATTGAGAACTCTTTGGCACATCTCGTGGTCTTAGATCCGGGAGAGGTGTTCACTGGCGGCCGATATCACAGTTTGGTTCCCATAATGTTTGAGTTGTATAACGCGGTCAAAGAGAAGGGATATTATTCGGTGGCAGTCGTCAAGACTCAGACCTCGAGTTTTATAAGAGATATCCGCGATTTAAGAGGACGTAAGGCCTGCTTCACAGGTGTGGGCCATATGTCCGGTTGGGTTATCCCTATCTCCCGACTCCTGGACGAAGAGCTGCTGGACATCCGTGACTGCAATAATATGATCCGAAGCGCCGCCAACTTCTTCGGCGACAGTTGTGCTCCCAATTCATTGATCGACAAAAACAATCCGATCGGAAACAACCCACTGTCGATGTGTGCCTTATGTTCGGCCGCACATCCCGACAAAACCAAGTGCTCTGGAAGTGATGTCTTCGCCAACTTTGAGGGCGCCTTTCAATGCCTGTCAACTGTAGGCGACGTCGCGTTTCTCAAACACACCACTATTAGCCAAATGTCACGATTCAAACACATCAACAAAAATGAATACGAGTTGTTGTGTCCGACGGGAGGCCGTAGACCAGTGGATGCCTACCAGGAGTGCAATTGGGGTTTCGTTCCCTCGCATGCGGTCGTCATATCCTCCGCCACTTTACCCGAAGAGAGAAACAGAATCCAAAAGTTTTTATTTGAATCCGTCGACAGATTTAGTCCACAGAAACCCAACAGAGACTACCTGTCCGGACAGACGTTGAGGCCTGGGATTAATCGATTCAATCAAAGTTTTTCATCGAAAACTAATTTAACAAAATATAGTTTAATGCAATTCGACGATAAACTCAGGACTGACGACCAGTTCTCACTGTTTGGCGATTCATTAAAATACGGGGCAATGAATCTGTTGTTCGCCGACGAGACGACCGCTTTTGGTTCCGTAGACATCAGTAAACAGACGTTTGCCGGATATCTGCGCTCATATGAGTTGCCCCCAAGAGTTCGTTTCGACTACAGGTCTAACGTGACTAATATGTTAGACTACTTCGAAAAGCTGCGCAAATGTCCCGTTCCTAACGCCCGGTTCTGTGTTGTGTCCGACAAAGAGCTGGAGAAGTGTCAGCGAATGAAGACTGCATTTCACGCACAGATGCTTAAGCCTGAGCTGAGTTGTCTGAAAGGCCACAGCACTGTGGGCTGTATGGCACTGATTCGCGACGGAAACGCAGACCTCACTGTCTTAGACGCCGGAGACATCTACACCGGTGGACACAAATTCAATTTGGAGCCAATTGTCTCCGAACAAAACAATTTGAATGACACCTACTATTATGTGGTGGCCATCACGAGACAGTCCGATAAGAACACAGACCTCTTGTATCTCAAGGGCAAGAAGTCGTGTCACACAGGCTTTGGTCTGGCGGCCGGTTGGGTCGTACCGCTCAGCTTCTTGTTGTCCAACTCCCGGATGCGTCCGTATGGGTGCGACTCAGTCCGCGCCGCCTCCGAGTTCTTCCAGAAGTCTTGTATCCCGGGAGCGCTTTCCCGAGAGTACTATAGTCTGGACAGTACTTGGGATTACGGAAACCTCTGCGACCTCTGTCACGGCGCCTCATATCGCTTCTGTAGCCGAGACTCATCCGAACCATTCTTTGGAGATACCGGTGCTCTTAGGTGTCTGGTTGAAGGCGGCGGCGAAATAGCATTCGCTAAACACACGACCATTTTGGAGAATACTGGCGGTCGGAACCCCGACTGGTGGGCCCGTAATGTTATTCCCGATGACTTTGAACTGTTGTGTCGGGACGGCACTCGAGCCACATATCGTGACTTTAAGCGCTGCCATTTGGGACGAGTGGCCACCAATGCTATCGTCACAAACAAATACAATGATAACTACCAGAAGGAGGCGTTCATTAATCTCTTCATTTACGCGCAACAGTTCTATGGATCCAAATATTCTGAAGACTTTACATTCAAAATGTTTGTCTCGCAGTCGGACTATCATGACCTCATATTCCAGGACTCAACCGTCCAATTGAAAGCAATTCCTTACAATAAACGCGATTATAGACAATATTTAGGACATGACTTCTTGAAAGCCATGACATTAGTCGACTGCACGGCTACCGCTCATCACACCCTCCCCTCACCCATTAATTGTGTTCTTGTAGTGATCACTGCATTTATATTTTACATTCCATTTGACTCCCTTTCCCCTTAACTATTAAGCAATTGATTCTTCAATCATTCCGTCCAATAATTGCAACAAATCATGACTTAAAGAAAATCACAATAAGATATTTACACAAAATCTGATTTACATTTTGTTGATAAATTTTTAGTATTTTTTCGAAAAAAATCTATTTAATGTTATTTAAACGAATTTCAAACATGTTTTATACTGTAATTTTTTTAATTGAAAATAAAAAATACTTTTGTATTTTATTTGTGTTCTTATTTTTACTATCTTTAAGATAATAATGATTCTCAGAAATGGAAAATATTTGTTAACTTGATTTAAATCAAATTGAATCAAAGTATAGCTCATATGAAAGCTGTCAGAATTGGATGGCATTTATTGATGCAATTTGTGATCAACAGTCACTCTAAACCTAAACCATAGCAACACTTATTGATTGGTTGAACAAAACAAAACTTTTAATAACAGATATTAAAATCATATGAAATTATAAAACAAATCAAATATGACTTCTTATATTGAATACAAGATTGAAGACTCGGTTCTTAAGTCCCTTCAGAAGGAATCGATCAGTTGGTCGAGGAGTGAGCGCTCACTACTCGCACTCTCTGTATATTCAGGCGACGGAACCATTATATTACTCAATGAAGACGGTCTGCAACCGATTGAGATCTCACAGAAGGAGTCGGATCTCATTCCACTGAAGTCTGGCGTCAAGATTGCATGCTTTCAATGGAATCCAGTCTTCCTTTCGCTCGTCATTTCGTGGGAATCGGGAGAACTGGGGGTCTATTCTATCAAGAATTCAAGGGCTAAATGGTCTGAAACTTCTGTGAAAGCCTATAACAGACAGAAGACTGTGGTTTGCATGGAATGGATGAACGACGGACTCTCTCTATTCACAGGTACTGTACTTTTAGTGCAAATAATACTTTAGAGACTTTAATGCAATTAATTTCAAACCCAAATGACAGTCGATATGTCGGGAAAGATAGTCATTTGGGAATACGACGAAAAAGCAAACCTTTTACTCGAGAAGTTTACTCAACAAATAAGTGATCAAATATCAGACACATTGGCCGTCACTTTCAACAAGGTTTCTTTTGTTTATTTTGGATCAAACAGTGGGACAGTGTTTCAGATGAATGAGTCGACCGGAACTGTCAACGATATCGTGGCTCTCGAGAGTGGAATCAAACGATTACTGCATTATTCAAAACGGAGTCGACTTATTATAATCACAGAATCCATGCTTTTATGTCAGTATTCACTGTCGACCACGAGTTCAGACATCTGTGAAGTTTCAAAGGTTAAGTTAAGCACATCTGCCCGTAATATGGCATCGGATATAATCACAGCACAAATGATCGACGACTCGATCGGACTGATCGCTATTTGCTTTTCTGGGGAACGGGTGGTAAGGCTGTGGCAGTTGGAGAGCGGCAATAATGCGGCCGTAATTGTGGCCGAATCTGCAGAATCTCATTGGGCGGGCGTTACGTCTGTGAGCTATTGGGGGAATCTGATGGTCGCCGGCACCAGCAATAACCACGTCATCATTTGGAAGAGGAGTTCCGGTCTTGAGTTCAATCGAGTCTCGCAAATACAGGTCAAGGGAAGTGTCAAACAGTTAAGTGTCGCTAAGAGTAGACACATCGCATGCATCACAACAACCAATGATATCTATTTGATTACTGAACAGAATATGTGCTTTTCATACAAAAAGCAAATTATTGTCGTCCAGGTAATTTTTTTTATAGATTCTATACTCTATAAATTCATTGTTTTATAGAGTATTTTACAATTATTCTTAATGAATATTCTTATGCATAGAATGGCGCCAAACAAATAAGAGTTAGAAATATTGATTCAGACATGAATCAAGAATTACGAGTTGAGATACCAATCCGTAATATTTATATGGGAACCGATGGAAAGACATTTGCCATCAAACTCAGTGGTTCCAAACGCGTCGACTTTTATCGCTTGAATACATCCAATGATGTGATCGACTCTTACTGTTCGGCCACTATTAGGGAAACCGATAATATGTTTGTCATTCACAACGAAATAGCCTGGAGTTGTTTTATAGATAATAACCAACAAAATGGAAAGTTTTCTTTAATATCATATAATTTGGAGACCAATAGTGAGGACAGCCATCAAATTGATTTGTTAGTCAACGCTGACAATAGTGTTCTGCAAATCAAAGTCATAGCACTAGATATTAACGGAGACTCACTTTTGGCTGTTTTATCACTGAATACCAAATTGTTTCTCTATATATTCAAAATTGTTGGACTCAAACAAGTGGTCAAATCAGGACCAATGGGTCTCTCGAGTCACAAAAAAATCCTTTTCGCCAAAATCAATAGCGACGGATCAATGGTCGCATGTATTGACCAGAATTTATTGACAGTTATATTCGACAATCAGATAATTAAGCAAAATATTGATGTTAATCCTGAGGACGAAATCGATGGTCTGTTTTGGGCAGACAATGAGCCGGTAAATACATTTAGGATTCATTATACATAAAACTTTCAAGATATAGTAATTTTGAAATATCGATAGCATCTACGATATAATAAATAAAGTTTATGTAATCGTATATCTAATCGTAAATTATATTCTTATAGAGATTGTTGTGTTTCTCTCAACAAACAAAAGTGCAAATATTTCTCTGCAATGGAAAGGAGAAAGTGATTAAATTTTACGATCAAATAGAAATCGATAATAATCTTAAGTTAATTGCACTCAAAGTGCCGACACTTTACTTCTTGAGGACCGAAGAAATCATAAAACAAGAGTTGAATGAATTGCAGGGTTTAAGTGAAGAGACAACAAGTATTTTATTGGATTTCTTGACCACAAAAACGATTGATTTGAATCATATAATCAAGAGAGTGAACCAAATCGGAGAGAATAGTCACAAATTGTGGAACAATTTGGCGAAACTCAGTGTTAAGAGTCGAGACATAAATATGGGTTTATATTGTGTCTCAAGACTACAAAACGCAAGAATCGTGAGAGATGTCAAACAAGAGCTGTCAGAGAGTGGAAGTGATATCGCGTGCGCTCTTCTGGCCATGAATTTGGGTCTTCACAGCGAAGCTGAAGAAATCCTCAAATCAAGTGATAATCCGTTGAAGTTATCAAAATATTATCAGAACAGAAATGAGTGGCAAAAAGCCATCAAATGTGTGGATCGGGTCAACCAAAAGACCGTTTATTACAATTACGCCAAACATTTGGAGCACAACGAGTCCAACATTAGGGAAGCCATCAAATACTATGAGATGTCGGGAACTCATGTCTTCGAAGTGCCGCGAATGCTGTTCGACATCGACAACACCGGCGGCTCTTTGCTGAAGGACTACTGTCTCAATGAAAACGCCAATTCAAATGACAAGGAGTCGGCATATCTGGTGAAATGGTGGGGACAGTACTGCGAGAGTCAGGGAGACATAAGTCATGCATTGAGTGTGTGTTAAGAGTCGAGACATAAATATGGGTTTATATTGTGTCTCAAGACTACAAAACGCAAGAATCGTGAGAGATGTCAAACAAGAGCTGTCAGAGAGTGGAAGTGATATCGCGTGCGCTCTTCTGGCTATGAATTTGGGTCTTCACAGCGAAGCCGAAGAAATCCTGAAATCAAGTGATAATCCGTTGAAGTTATCAAAGTATTATCAGAACAGAAATGAGTGGCAAAAAGCTATCAAATGTGTGGATCGGGTCAACCAAAAGACCGTTTATTACAATTACGCCAAACATTTGGAGCACAACGAGTCCAACATTAGGGAAGCCATCAAATACTATGAGATGTCTGGAACTCATGTCTTCGAAGTGCCGCGAATGCTGTTCGACATCGACAACACCGGTGGCTCTTTGCTGAAGGACTACTGTCTCAATGAAAACGCCAATTCAAATGACAAGGAGTCGGCATATCTGGTGAAATGGTGGGGACAGTACTGCGAGAGTCAGGGAGACATAAGTCATGCATTGAGTGCTTACGAGAAGGCAAAGGATTACTACAATTTGGTGCGACTCTTGTGCTATACGGGAGAGAGCGAGAGAGCAAAGAGTTTACTCAACTCATTGACGAGTGAAGCCAAGAGTGACGAGACTAACCCGGGTCTCGAGTCAGCACAGCTTCACTTAGGCAAACACCTCGAATCCATTAACCCAATCGAGTCCATCAATTACTACTTACCTTCCGGTGCTATTAAGCACGCGATTCGTGTTTGCAAAGAGAATCACTTCATCAATGAATTGGTGAAACTCACCATAACTTATGGCACTCAAGAAGAAGCCAAGGATATCGCCAACACTTATATTGAGAACAATAATTATATCAATGAAATAAGCGATGAATATATCGTTCAAATCTACTACAAGTGTGGATACATTGGACGGGCTATAGAGGCGGCCCTTAAAACCAGAACCTGGACTCAACTCAGAGACTTACTGTTGGATCAGATGTCAGATCAAAAAGTAGAGTCAGACCAAAGAGACTTAAAAATAGATGAATCCATAATAGACTTAGCATTGGATGCGCTTAAGACTGATTCGGATATCATTGACATAGTTATTGATTTACTGCTTCTTCTGGAGAGCAATAGGACACCACTTATGGAACAACTGATAAGAGATCACAACATAGAAGTGAATGAAAAGCTTGTGGACAAAGTGGAGAGAGTGACCAAAAGCAAGGACCAGAAGCAGTCGTTGATGTTAGCGTTGGCTGATATGGCTCTACAACAGGGCAACTGTTTGGTCGCCGCAAAGCTGTATAGCAATCAGGGACTCAGAACTAATGCCATCAAAGCTCTCATCAGAACCGGACAGACAGACAAAGTCATCAGTTATGCCAACATTGCCAGAGATAAGAGTGTCTATAAGATTGCCGCTAATTATCTCAAAACTATGGACTTTAGCGACCAAACAGTGATCGATAACTTTCTTAAGAAGGCGGGCACTCAGGCCAACAAACGAGAGACTGAATGATACACTGATTCACATGAAATACTTGTCTCATATAATACTCATTGAATATGGACTTTAGCGACCAAACAGTGATCGATAACTTTCTTAAGAAGGCGGGCACTCAGGCCAACAAACGAGAGACTGAATGATACACTGATTCACATGAAATACTTGTCTCATATAATACTCATTGAATATATTAAATATATATTTAAAAACTCGAGATTTCTTTAAATATTCATATTTTGTAAGAATATTCTTGAAGTGAATAAAAGTTAAAATTGTGTGGAAAGTGATGACTCAATAGATGGCGGTTTGTGTGTCAGACAGCGTGTGATTCACATGTGTTTTGGTTTACATTTAAATCACACGAAAGTGATGTTCAAGTGATTCAGTGATTGTCTTATTGTCTGACATCTGAAATGTCGGACCATTTGGTGACAGAAGACAAGCATAAGAGCCATCAGAAGAGACACAGCGGTCGGAAGTTTGATAAGAAACAGATTAGGAGTAGAAGTGATGGAAGCGATGGCAACGACAAGAAGCCGAAGAACACGAAGGCGTTCGCCATTAAGTCTGCGGTTAAGGCCGAGAGACAGTTCCGCCGCAAACAGGACTTGACTGCCAAGAGAGAGCACATCCCAGTGATAGACAGGACACCCGTAGAGCCGGCGCCGTATGTGGTGGCAGTGGTTGGGCCCCAAAAGGTGGGCAAATCAACGCTCATCGCATCGGTAGTGAAGCAATGGAGTCGACACTCTCTGAACCAAATGAAAGGTCCGATCACTTGCGTGTCGGGGAAGAAGAGACGCCTCACTCTCATTGAGTGCAATAACGACATCAACTCAATGATCGATTTGGCAAAAGTGGCGGATTTGGTGCTACTCTTAGTGGACGCCAGCTTTGGCTTTGAAATGGAAACCTTTGAGTTCCTAAACATCTGTCAATCGCATGGATTCCCGAGGATTATGGGGGTATTGACTCATTTGGATGTGTTTAAGAACCAGAAGGTGTTGCGGAAGACGAAGAAGATATTGAAACACAGGTTTTGGACGGAAATCTATTCGGGGGCCAAACTGTTCTACTTGTCCGGAATGATTGGCGGCCATTACCTCAAGAACGAGATCCACAACTTGTGTCGATTCATATCTGTCATCAAATTCCGTCCGTTGCAGTGGATTACGAGTCATCCGTACCTCATATGCGACCGAATCGAAGACATCACTAATCAGGAGCTCATCCGTCAGAACCCTAAATGCAATCGAAAGGTCTGTCTCTTTGGGTATTCGCGCGGAAGTAATTTCAAGAGGAATCACGACATCCATATCCCCGGCTGTGGAGACTTTGTCATCAAAGACGTGTCATTCCTATCGGATCCGTGTCCTCTTCCAGACAAAGAAAAGCGTCGTTCGCTTAATGAAAAAGAGCGACTCATTTACGCGCCGATGTCTGGCGTCGGGGGTCTGGTCTACGATAAGGACGCGGTTTATATCGATTTGGGTGGAAGTCATTCACACAATGATGAAGAAGTGGATGAAAACGCGGAACAATTGGTGTCGTCTATTATCTCTAACCCCCAACCAATCGATGAAAAGCTCGCGTCGACTGAACTGAAACTCTTTAGTTCCGCAGAACCTATGGTTGGATCAGATGTTTTCACTGATGACAAGAGAGTCCGGAGGAGAGTTACGTTCAGTAAAGAAGTAGATTTTAAAGACAATGACAGTGGAAGTGATTCTGAAGAGAATAGTGACGATGAAAGTCAAGATTTCGAACAAAACTCTGACGAAGAAAATGACGAAACGCTTGAATTCGACGAAGAAATGGAAAGCGAAGACGAATTCAATTACTCGAAGTGGAAGAATGACTTGTCTTCGAAGGCTTCGACCGCTTTTTACTCGCGACTCGAGAGATCAGAAAACGTCCAGAAATTAGTTTACGGAGAGTTCAGTGATTTGAAAGACGACAACCATTTCGAGGACTTTCGAGAACTCTCTGACGGATTGTTTAAAGTGATTGAGAAGAGACACGAAGACATGAATAAAATGAAGACAACTCTCAATTCGATAGAATGCTCTAAATTTCCGCAACAATTGCTCATTGATTGGAACAGTGAAGAGGTTTTGGCGACAATTAGGGACTGCTTTGTGACCGGGAAGTGGAGTGACACCGAAGACGCCGCCAAACTCTTGGCCGCTGACGACAAGGCTTTAGATGACGAGTCAGACGAAGAAGTATTCGGAGATTTCGAAGATTTGGAAACCGGAGAGAAATATGTGAACGAAGAGAATGAAGAAAAGGACGAAAAAGAGTCGAATAATAATGATATGAATGAAAGGGAGAAACGGATGGAGAAGAAGAGGAAAATGAAGGCAATGTTTGACTCGGAGTACGACGAGAAGGGCGGGGAGGAGAAGACATTCCTTGACTTGGAGAAGGAGAAACTCGAAGAGCAGAGTCGGGTATGTAGTGATCGTCTGTTTGTGGGTCTCTTAATGAGTCAATTGTTGTCTTTAGTTAAACAGAAGTGAATTCGAGGGCATGTCTGACGAGCAGAGGGTTGAGTTCGAGGGCTTCAGACCGGGAATGTATCTGAGGGTCGAAATCGAGAACATTCCGCACGAACTGATCGATCACTTCGACGCCAGCTATCCGTTGATTGTCGGCGGACTCCTCTCCGGCGAGACTAACATTGGTTTCGTGAGAGTGAGGATCAAAAAGCATCGCTGGTATCAAAAGATACTGAAAACACGCGACCCTCTCATCCTATCCCTGGGTTGGAGACGATTCCAAACACAGCCCCTGTATTCCACTCAAGACGACAACGGACGCAATCGACTCCTCAAATACACGCCCCAACACATGCACTGTTACGCCTCCTTCTGGGGGCCCATCACTCCGCAGAACACGGGCTTTATTGCCGTCCAATCGGTGGCTGACGTGAGCGCAGACTTTCGAATCGCAGCCACAGGTGTTGTCCTCGATATCGACAAGTCTTCACAAATCGTGAAAAAGTTGAAACTCTTGGGGAATGCGCTGAAAATATACAAAAAGACGGCATTTATTAAAGGAATGTTTAACACAGCGCTCGAAGTGACCAAATTTGAAGGCGCGTCCCTCCGGACTGTGAGTGGCATTAGGGGTCAAATCAAGAAAGCCATTCGTGCGCCTCCCGGAGCCTTCAGAGCCACTTTCGAGGATAAGATTCTGATGAGTGATATCGTGTTCCTTAGGACGTGGTATACCGTCGTTGTGCCCAAATTCTACACAACTGTCACTTCACTACTACTCCCGCCCAACGAAAAGCTCAAATGGCAGGGAATGAAGACTGTGGGCCAACTCAGACACGAACAGGGATTACATGCGCCCAACAATCAGGACTCGCATTACAAACAAATTGAGCGCAAAAAATACAATTTCAAACCCTTTACAATACCTAAAGCACTGCAACAGGAGTTGCCCTTTAAGTCAAAACCAAAGTTTTTGCCGAAAAAGGAAAATAAAGTGAATAGAGTGGCAGTGGTTAGGGATCGGGAGGAACAACAGACTCATAATCTAATGAAAATGATTAGAGCCTCACATAAACACAAAGTGAGGAAAGAGAAGGAAGTGATGGCTCACAGAGTGGCTAAACATCAGAAAGAAATGAAGAAAATACAGACTGGAAAACATGAGAAGCAGAGGGAGACCAAGAAGAGAGTGTTCCGCACAATGGGTCGCAAGAGTGGCGGCAAACCTAAAGACTGATTCAATTGTTATTTATATATAGCTATAAGATTTGTGATCATTTTTTATGAATTAAAAACATTTAATAAATACTACAGTACTGTACATGTATTTAAATTGAAGTACATTCGTATATAATTAGTGCCATTCCTATGAAAAACTTGTGATTGAGTATAAGAAGTGTGGATTGAAGTGATTGCTGTATTTGACATGATTTCCACTCAATAGGAGTTTATTTCTGTTTGTTGTGAAAGAATTGTCGTATAGAAGAGAAAGCCTTAGGAAAGGAGTCGACACACAGGAGTCGGGCTCTGATCCAATCCGGAAGATTCTGTCGTATGTTTTGTCTGTTTGTATACCTGTTATCCAACAGAATAATGACTGCGAAATCGTTTTTATGCCGAATGGCTCTTCCGATCGATTGGTTGACAGCTTTGAGACACAGGTTTTCGTAAAATACCTGAAAATATGAATCAATAATAAGTTGATGTAAATACTGGTACTGTATTGTCAGGGAATGAATGAATGGATTCTTGTCAGGGAATCAATGAATGGATTCTTACATTTCCGGCGTTGGGTTTCAATGAATCCAAATATTGCATCTTTTGTGTCAATTCGAGTGACTGTTTGTTAGCGTAGGGCAGACCCACGACTATGACTCCCCGACCCAAATGGTCGCTGAAATTAATTCCTTCACTCATTTTGCCGCCGACGACACACAACAGAAGAGCCCCTCTATTGTTAGTGCCAGTGATCGCACGGTTATAATCAGACAGAATCGTGTGAACCATCGATGCCTTTCTGGGCTCTCGAAACACAGTCTTGCCTTTGGATTCAATACTTTTAATGATTCCACACTTTTGCCACGATTTGTAATAAATGTCTTCCAACTCATATGAAGGGAAAAAGCAAACGATTCCGTCGGGAATGACGGCACACATGTTGACCACTGTTTTGCCCGTTTCCTCTATCATTGAATTGTTGGTGCGATTTTGAAACGTATAGTTAAGTGTCTTTCCGTTTGGTCCCATTCCCAGAGCCACAGCCAATAGATGTGAGTCTGGGATGACGTGTCCGCACGAGAATGTCAAGAGTCGGTCAGAAGTAATGCCTAAAGGCGTGAACAAGTGGTCGATGTATTCGTCAAACGGTTTCATTGTTCCGCCGCAGAGAACAACAGAACGACATTCACTGACAATGTCTTTGAATTGCGAGAAAGGATTCAAAAGAATATATTTCACACAACACTCTCTAATCGAGTTCTTATCATATTTTGTGATAATCTTTGCGTTTGAGTTCGAGTTAACCAAAGCTCTGAGGAATTCTTGTATGAGATATAGAGGAGAGCCATAGACTTTCACTTCCTCTTCAGGGGTCGATGTGTTGGAAGCAATTGATTGCAATTCAATGGACTTGGCTTTCATTTTTGCTAAGAAAGCTGTCGTCCCATTCACTGCTTTATCAGGTTTTATGTCATTTGCAACGCTTTGTTGTCTTTTACTGAAACCGAATAGTTTTCGCGCGATTTGACTCTTTTGGCAATAATCAAGAATTTGAAATAAATTCAAGTTTTCGATACCAAGTCTTATGAGAAACTCGACTCTTTCGCAAACACTTTGACAATCGTTTTGAGCACTTGTTTTAAAATGTTTGCTAAACACGTTTAAAATGAATACGATTTGTTTGATATGCATTGCATTCCTGGCACTCAATCGAGTCTTATATCTCGCGAGGTATGCATTGAGTTGTGTGAGAGCGTCCATCACGTGCGAGCCCTTCAGTTCAATACTATGGATGTTATGAATGGTTTCCATGAGATTGTGCGCCTCGTCCACCACCACAACACTGTCCACGAGGTCTATGCCATAGGACTGACGGGTTGGCGAATGCAGTAATACATTGTAAGGCATTATCACGATCTCTGCCTCAGGAATGGCTAATCGCGTGCTATAGTAAGGACACGCTTTGACTCCTTTGCCTAATTTGTTGATGTCTTCGATGTCCAGCACATCGGCCAACACTTCATCCTTGAGTTCATTCATTACAGACTTCTTAAAGAATTGACACTTTGTTTGACTATTACTTGAATTCTGTAATTCAATGCACTTCTCATTAATGAGATGATTGTTATTGAGTCTCAAAACCCTATCATTAATGCAATAATTATTTCTGGAGCCCAACGGAACCGCTCGCAAAGGAGTGTCTCCTCGAGAGTAAGTCGTCCTCTGGATCTCACGTATGAATTGCGAGAGTTGTGAATGCGTTCGACTCGCGTAATAGATCTTCGGTCTCACGAATGTCTCGCTCTCTTCGGCGCTCACCTTCTCGTCCATCACTTCCTCATCACTGCAATAGTCGACAAAGTCTTCGTCGGTTTCGTTATCACATGCACTCAACTCATCGCCACAATTGGTGTCAGTCCTGAGCTTTTTCGACACATTCTTATGCTTTAAGACCAACGAATGTCGAACTAATGAATTGCTTCGCCGGTCGACGAGTGCTTTGTTCCTCTGGTTCTTCACATCGAAAGCATTCAATTGTTTGACAATCACTTCCTTCTGACGACAAACCATTGACTTCTTGTCCTGCAATTCAATCCAATCAGAGCTCACTTTGCTGTCGGCGTCCAGTCGTTCGATCTCTTTGTTCAATGTTTGCAGTTGTCGTGTCAGTCGCTTCAACTCATTCGTGTGGAAGTCTTGGATCCACTGAATGGTGGCGCAGATAATGCTCAGTGACTTCCCGGTGCCGGTCGGGCTCTCCACGATTGCCACCTTCTTCTGGTCCAACGCGCTATACATGGCGTCCATCAGCTGTTCCTGAATGTCGTACGCCATGAATGGGAACTTATATCTGGAGGAAGACGTGGAGGAAGACATCACCACTTAATGACACTTCACTTGATTTGCTCGCAAAACAACGAATCGTTTAAATGGACACAACTTTCCACTCATTCCTTGCATTCAATGTTTTGCCGCCTTTTATATCAATTACGCAATCGTTTGTCAACACCTTTTCGGCACCTTTTCATACGATAGAGAGTATGGATATTAGGCACAGAAAGGGACTAAATGTGCGACTATTGAGATTCGAACGGAGAACAGAAGACAAGGAAATTCGAATTGAGATGAAGTGAGGAATCGTTCGATTGGTTGCCATTTGACTGTCATTTGTGTCTCATTTGTGTCTCATTTGTGTCTCATTTGTGTCTCATTTGTGTCTCATTTGTGTCTCATTTGCATTCCTCATGAGTGGTGACGAGTGCATGAGTGGTGATGACTGTGTCTCACACTCGCACAAGTGGCGCGTATGCATTGAAATGGGTGTCGAGTGGTGTGTGAAGTGCTGTTCGGAGCGATGGATGAGTTCACTGGAGAGTGACTTCACTCGAAGACATCTGTTGGACGCGTTGGACAACTGGTTGAGGAACGGATCCTCTTGGGTGCAGACGCACCTCATGTGCGACCACTTCTCGGCCAAAGAGAGGGCGGCCTTCGTGTTGACCATCACTGGACTGCTCTTCCATTCGGACCCAAGTCTCCAGAAGTCTGCCAATAATTGTAACAAAACTCACGAACTCTTGAGAAAACTCACGAACTCTTAAGTCCAGTGATGAACCACTCATTCATCCCTTCCTTTGACTCCCGTTTAGGTCTTAAACTCATTCTCTCGCAGATGAACGACAACTCAGTCATTGGTTTAGTCGTCGAGAATATCGCACAAAATGTATATCCAATGCAGTCATCAATTGATCTGTCATTCGATGGTAACGCGTGTTGTCCTCAATGTTTAGATCACTTGTGATGGCAATGGTGTCAACGAATGGGTCTTGGATTTGGTCACACAGTTTCTGGTCAACTGTTCCACTGATGGCATCCGTAGTGATCGCTTCACTGAAGAGAGTAGTTATCCATTGACACGATTGTCACCATAAGTACTGATGACATGAAACTCATTTCAGTGCACATCTTGTTTGCAATTCTTCGCAACGATTACGACAAATACGACAATCGATTGAAACGAAGCGTTTTGAAGGTCTTCATCACTATTTATGACATCTTTCACACAAACGGATTGTTCTCTTTGGACGAAGAGTTCCACTCAAAGATACTTCAAATGGTTTTCATGGCTTTCGAGCCACAGAACGGCTGTTCCGATGACAGCAATGTTTTGTTGAATTCAATGGAACTGCTGAAGAGATTGTCGACAATAGAATCGGTTCTCAATGTTCTCATTGCCGATGAAAATGTGAGCAAATATTTGCACATTTTGTTGACCAATGAAAGCGAAGAAATGAAAATTAGTGTCTTTGTCTGGATCTGCGATCTCCTCGAGAATGACTCCATTCGTCGAAAGTTCGCGAATATTCTTCTCAACGATTCCATGAATTCATTGATCGAGTTATTGAATTCATCGCACAATCCATTCATTTCTAAGTAAGTAATCATCAAATGGTGACAATTGTGGCGAAAGTGTTGTCATATTTATTCATTTGCCACCCATTGGTCAGTCATCTACTGAATTGCATTAATCTCATTCTGGACACCATTTGTCGACCCATTGGTTCCACGAATGCTATCTCTTTATCCAATGCTCTCATCAAAGCTCTCGACCTTTCAGTTAAGTGTAATGACAACAAGTTTTTCATGAATGCATTGACAGCACTGAAACAATTGATCAAAAGGTTTGTATGAATTGATAAGTTGAACGAAATTGTATCCAATAGTTGATTGCAATGTGAATGCATTGAATGTGAATAGGAATGGAAGCCCTGACTTGATATCGGAGTTCGAGTTCTTTTCATTGCTGGATATGTTGGAGCACTATATCTGCAACGAAGAGCTATTCCTATATGTCGTCACATTCTTATCGGATTTACTCAACATATCAGTCGTTCCGACACTTATTCCCACCAAACGGATGACAATTATTTTAACAAAAGTTTTGCACTTGTAAAGTTTGTGTAGCTGGCCAAGAGTTCTCCTCCTCCTGTACTTACTCACATATTAGGCTTGCTGTCCGCGACAGCCAGAGTAGTTTAGCATGGATTTAAATCACTTAAGTGATTTTCTGTTTCAATTCAGTCCTGAAGGCGATTGCGTCCATCTCTTGAATGGCGAAACAAAACCACTATTGAATGAAATGCCAGACGAAAGCCAGGCCTTAGAGTCAGACAATGATTGCAAACAATCAGAAGTTTATAATTTTTTGTCCTTTTGTTTGACAACAATCGATAACTTCTTTGTGGAAGCCTTGGATCGACTCATTTGCGATCAAAACTCGGAGAAGAACTCAATTCTATTTCAAACAATTATTTCGTGTTTTGTTGTCATAATCGACAATAACTTGTATGTCAACGAAGACATCATTTCGTTAATCAATCAAATGTTCGCAAAGGGATGTGTCTTAACAATGGTTCAGATTCTGTGGATTTGTAACTATTCTTTCAATACGCCGCCATTCAAGAAGGCATTGGTATCTCTTTTGTCGCATTTCCTGATCAAGATCTTTGAGAGCGACCGCAACAATGATGTCCTCCCGAACGCTGACCACCCCTTCGACAGACAGTACTTCGAACAGGGATTGACTCAATTAGATGGTTGTTTCAGTTATGACTTACTTGTAGTTATGACTTGTAGTTATGACTTACTTGTAGTTTAAAACTTATTTACTAATTCAATCATAATTACAGACACAATCATACATCGATTGACCCAAAGCTCACAATTGTATCAAACAAATGATTCAAACCGTCAGTTCTACAACACATTCTTTGCTATCAATTATTATAGCTTTAGGTGCGACAAGAAGTATGTATTCTGTTGTAAAAGTTGACATGACATCCAAATGATTATACTTTTGACTAAACTAACACTAAATCTTTTTTGAAAGTCTAGGTACTCTGCATATCGTGAATAAAGAGTTGTCAATAGTTGCATATGGACTGCCGTGACTTAAGCTATGACGAGAACTCCATCCTAACTGTGAAGCACTCATTATTTTTGGCCGCTTTGACCGAATTGAGTGACCAAAGCATTGGCGCTTTGAAACAGTTCTTTGGTTCGCTCGACAACAACTTCCTCTCGATTTACTACACGAATCACATCCTTCTACTCAATTGGCTCTTCTCTGAACTGAAATGCGAGAACTTTTGTCAATACGGTTTGATTGAGTTCTTCGACACCATTGCCGAGAACTGCGGACAGTTCGAGAAGAAGGACATGATCTCATCGTTCTTCCAACTGATCCATGAGGACGACAATGCGCTCCGGATATTGACTCATATCATGTGCGACACCGTCACTAATATCTCAATTCTCGATACTGTCGACCGATTGCTCTCTGATTTCGACATATTCTTAGACGAGTCGGACATTTGCAACAATTGGAACCTATTTTGTGAGAAAATAACACAGAATTTGCCGCAAATTGTGACGAAAATAGTTGTTGTGTAGTTTGCACAATAGATATTTCTGTATTTGGGACTTCTGCTCGTCTTTCACAAGTTTTACAATCCGGAAAATACAGCTTACGACAGTTTATTCAAGCTATTGACATCGGGTCACATGTTACTATTAGATTTAGAGCCACTCGTGAGAGAATTGTCTACTTTTGTGGACATCCATCATAGGTTGGTTTGTTACCCAGTTTATAACCTCAAGAACTCTTACACAAAGTGAAGTACCAGACTTAACCCTAATTCACTTATGTCTAACTCACTATAACAATACCTAAGGTACCAAAATTACTAAGAGATGTATGGATATATTGGCAGCCATTTGGTCACTGATGTCATGAAAGAGTGTTCTCTTTATATATTATCCGTTTTGTGTCAAAACAAATGCAAATATCAAATCAAGCATTCATTGCAATACGAGATAGACTTCAATGAAATCATCCAATACTTGAACAGTGAATCCAAAGATGTGACCGAAAGTGCATTTCATTTGTTGTGCCATTCATTCAGTGCTGAGTCTTATATCGCATCACACAATGAAATAGTTGACGAAAAGTGCGATCGTATCCAACAATTAGTCCATCACTTACTCAATGCATTCTTCAAGTGAATGTAGTGAAATTGTGTTTACTGTGAGAAAAACTTCGTTGACAAGCTACCAAACAGCAGTAAACCTAGGGGTGATGTGTTTGTAAACCGTGTTTTAGGAACCAAAGTGCAGTAATAGTCACTTGGCATCAAAAAGGATGACATCTTCTCTGAAGACTTGTTTGAATTGGTCTTAATGTTAGTCGGATTGCAGTTCATGAACACACCTCTAATACCAGTGACCAATGAATTGACGGAACGGTACCTCAGATACATTGAACTATCGAAACACACCTCCAATGAAGAGAAGTGTCTTAGACTACGAAGGTTACCTTTCGTATAGAAACTCTATAATTTCCGTTAGTTAAGACCTCAAATATCTTTACAAAATTTGCGGTTGAATTTCTAATGAAATTCACTAAACAAATCGCGCCTACAGTTGACTCCAGAGTTCATTTAGTCGTTTATAGTATTCTTATTGTTTTTAGTTAAATGTTTATTATTATTATTTAATGACAAATAAAAACAATTCATCCAAACTTATTGTCCGGCAAATCAATGAATTCTTCGCTCAGAATCTTTGCCTTCATTTTCTCGGTGACCACCTCTTCCTTATCAGATATAATCTCCTTATCGCCGATCGTTTGGAATCCTTTGTGAGGAAGTGTTATAACTCTCTCTTCGATATTCTTTCCGGGAATACGTCTCCACTCACTCGGAGACCCCTCTCCTCCCTCTCCTCTCACTATAGTATTACGAATGACTGGTCTCTCGACTTTTGAGGCGAACATTATGTCCGAAAAAAGCGATGACTTATGGTCTTCACTCTTATCA